CACGCTCAGTTTATTGCATTATAATGACAAAAGTAAAGTCAGTTGCGACTTGAAACACTTTTACTTTCTGGCACAATTAGCTTACTCAATCCCTCAACTTAACTCTTGGATCCATGAAGTGTTCCAAGCCCGACTGGAACGTGAGTTCGGCGCCACCTATTTTACAGGCTAAATAGGAAAACCCTGCGATTATGAGCAGTTTAAGTTGGAGGTTTGTGAAGATAACTGTAAGCTGTAGAAATAAATAATAAAACAACAATATTTGAATACGGATCTATAATTGATTTATTGTTGAGATTTATTGGTCTTGACAAATAGGTTAGGTACTGCTGTTTGACTGATGCAATCAATAACAAATACGACAAATAATGGTAAGCATGATTTTACTTGCGAGTGAACACCCCCTTGCGCAAATAATTAAAAATAAAAATTAATCGTTATTAACGTTCAAGTAACGAATAAAGAAATGACATTAAAAATCTAAGATTAAAAATAACAGAATCAACTTTCACAAACTGATGGGGTTATAGCAAAACAGTGACACTATTATAGAGAATATAATTATTATAATTAATACAAATAAAGAAAAACCCTCAGCTTGTGAAAATTGTTAATTAAAAGGGAAGAGAAAAAGATGAAATGAATAGGAAAAAAAAAAAAAAAAAAATTGGTTACACACTATCAACTCACTCTGGTGTAGTTCGGAGTACGTTCACTTATCTTCAATCCTTTACTGAAGGTATTTCACTGTTCGGTGGTTATTGATCAATTCGTTAGGTTTTGAATTTTGGTGTAAGTAGGTATCTGTTCGATTGGTTGGTAATGAATCAACTAAGCAAATATCTAGCGTGAAGAAATAAATGCCACCAAAAAGAGTACTTGTACTGCAGAGGTGTTGGAACTGATCTGACTGTGTAGAGTAGAGCTCCAGGAAGAATCCTATGTGATGTGATGTGATTGTTGCAACCTTACGATGGGGTTATTGTAACCCTATGATGGGAGTTGTAACCCCAGGATGGGACCTTGAAATTAATCCAGGCCTTAGAACCAAAAATATTTCCTAACCTGAGTTAGGCTTCTGACAAAAGAATTTCGGCGAAAAAAAATATAAAATGAGCATATTTACCTCTTCTGATGTTCGTGAGGGTTAGAACAAAGAAGACACTGGTGTTAATGACCGGTGGACTGGACAAATAACTTTATCAAGTCCAAGATAACCTCCCTTGAAAAATGTGTACCAGTTAAAAATTAAAATTCTAAAAGATAATAAAATATTTACCTCAATCAACGGCCTGGCCCTCAAGAGAAGCAATAAATCCCACGTAGAAAATTGGTTTTGCCCAAAGGAATATTACAAAAACCAAAGGTAAAGGCTAACCAAAAACGTGTCTCACTGCCCAAATCCTTCCAATGAGGTTAGGAATAAAATCCAAATGGCTGTGGAGACAAACATCTCTTGTTGGCTGATGGAATTGAAAGAGGCCCAGTCTTTCTCGTTAGGCAAAATGGTGCCTCACACATCACGAATTAAAGAGGGGAAACATAGAGATGGAACCAATTACTCTAGGAAGTCGATATACTTAATCGCCGGAAATCGAATGTAACAAGTTTTCATCACATAATTAAAATTTAAGTAAAGCACTGCCTCACGAATTAACCAAATTGACTTTTGACCGACAAACACTGATTAATACACAACGCTTAACCGGAAAACAATACGAATTGATAAGATAGAAACTGCACAAAGCCCGGATTGGAAATTGGAATTAATTAATCCAATCTATTTACCCGAATCGATAAACAAATCGACGCCGAATCAATAAAATCATCCCTCAACCGAAAGTCAGTATCGAACTTGACGGAATGACATATGAAGGACACAAAAATAAAGGTCGCTTTCGGATGAAACTCGACGCTTGTTCGAAGGTTCGAAGTACCGGTAAATAGCCAGTGCAGTAAGAGTGACAATTGCTTTGTAGAGTAGAACACAATAATCTGCAAAAATGCATCATATCAGCTAATAATTGATAACAATGTTTAATTACTGAAAATTAAAGTAAATAATCAATAATAGGGAAAGATCCGGAATCTAGAACAGAGAATAAATCAGCTGATAAGCAATAATCGAAAATTCAATGAAAGAAAATTGGCAATTTCTAAAAATATAATTTAGAAATAAGGAATTTTGGGGCTCTTGCAGAAACAAGGAAAAGCAGAATCTAGCGTCAAAAATTAAAACGTCACAGACTGTACTAAATACTGGCCACTTATGCTTTGAAAGCCGATAGCCAATTGCCGAGTGCGAACGCATTATGACTTGAGCCTATCAACTCCAAAATAGGAAAAATAATTGCTTTTTCTTTTAACCATATTACTCCAGCGTAGTACAAGATTATTTTGCATGGAGCACAGTTAGATGGTTCTCGAACCAATTGTCATACAGTATCCCCAGGCAAGGTTAAATTTATCGTGTCCCTATCCCTACTAAGTTTACTAATTACTTCAAGTTGTTCCTTGCTGGGAATATAAACGATAAGTGTTTCAAATACTCTATATACATATATATATATATATATATATATATATATATATATATATATATATATATATATATATATATATATATATATATATATATGAGAAAATATTTGGTTTGATTTTCTATGCTTTTCCATCCATAGACGCGTTTCGACCTATCAGGTCTCATCAGTATGGCTAGGAAAAGCAAAGAAAACCAAACCAAGTTTCGTGCCTGTAGGCAATATGTTTTGTCTTAGATGGCGCCACGATCAAATTTCGACCGTTGTACTATATATATATATATATATATATATATATATATATATATATATATATATTTACATCTCAATATTATTTCTGCGTCCTTTCACTTTGCAAGCATTTGGCGTCCATGTGAATATATCTAAATTCTTGGATACGCCTGCGTAAATCGGGTCATCCTGTTCAACGAGATCCGAGTTTTTTTCGATATACTCACTTTTTTACTTCATTGGAGACCGATTTACACTTTGGTATTATTCTGCGTCCTTCCATTTTGCAATCATTTTACGTCCCAATATACATTTCAACAATGCCAGTTTTGGGCGTCCACGATTATTATACTATTCATAAAACATCTTATTCTACGTCCGACATGGTTGCCGGTTCTCAGCACGGATTTTGATGCACTAAGGCTACAACAGGAGATAAAGCAAATAGTAAAAATGCGATGTTCAATTTTTTATTAGAAATAGTCGAGGAAATAGTAGTGATTATTTCCTCAGCTCTTTTTCATCGACAAAACGGAACCTAACTTGACATGACAAGAAAATTTGTAATAGTTATTTACCTAACAAGTGCGGAAAGTGGGACTTTTCCACACGCGACTGCAGTTCGCAAATTTTAATTTAGGTATTCGGTAAATTGTCTTACTGAATTACGCTCAAGTTTTTCAACATTGAAAATGTTTTTATTATGGCACGGGTTCGTAGTATGGGTTACAAAATTCGAAAATCTTGTGTTGCATTTGTCCCATACGTCACAGAGTCGAACGACAAGTGTGTGTGTTGGGAATGCGAGTGCGAGTGCGATTGGCGTGCGAGTGCGAGAGGGATGCGAGTGTGGGTGGAAGTGCGAAAGGGATGCGATTGCGAGAGGAAGTGCGAGAAGGATGCGAGTGGAAATGCGAAAGGGGTGCGAGTGCGAGTGGAAGTACGCATAGGAGTGAGAGTGGTGTATGAGTGCGACTGGAAGTGCAAGTGCGATTGGCGTGCAAGTACTAGTACGATTGGCGTGTAAATGCGAGTGCGATTGGCGTGCAAGTGTGAGTGACGTGCGAGTGACTGTTAGCATGGATTTGTCAATGGATTTAAAAAAAAAAAAACACAATTTTTTGGAACTTTGCCGCACTTGTGAGCATAAGTAATAATGTTTCTTGATTGTCGAGGGAGCAGGCCTGTAGGGGTGGGAGGGAGAGTGCAGGCTTGCTTACTCTCGAAAAATCATTGATTATTGTATTTTCTAGTAGGAAAATATACCATAAAATAAAAATGTACCAGTTCGTAGTCTTTTTGAATATAAGAGAAAAAAATTACTTCAAATCAAGCATTGAATTATTAGTTATTATTTAATTTTAAAAATAAAGTTTTTTCCCATTGTCCTTTTTTTAAAGGATTACGTTTCATGACATGCACCTACACTTTACAACATGAGTGATAGTTTCACAAGAGCTGAAAAAATAGTACATTGCACGCCAAGGAGGCAAAAGTGTTTTGCGAGTTTTAAGTCAAAATTCTTTGATGTATTACCGGAATTGACAAAATTACGTGACGTCTGGGTCCGGCTCGTCTGGTTATGTCTTGACGGCGGCCATGATGACAGCTCTATTTTTATGTACTGAGTATTTATATTGGCCAATTGAAATTCTCAGTATTTAAATTGGCAAATATAAATACTGTACACCTAAGACCAACTTTACCTGCTCTAAACATGTATCAAAAAGTAAGCAAAAAATGCTATAAAAAATATTACTGGTTAGGTTGCCACCACTAAACTCAAAACCTCACTACATGCCTGAGGGGGGACTCAAAGAAGGTCTATACTAAGGGTAAGCAAAATATTCGAATAATCGATTACTAATTGATTAGTCGACCGATTTTGTTTTTAAATGGATATTTGATTATCGATTATTTTCAATAAGTAATCAATTATTTTCGATTCTTTTCAATTATCCATTATTTTCAATCAATTATTTCTGATTAATTTTAATTATTTATTATTTTCGAACAATCGATTATTTAAAAATAATCAATTAATATAGAATTATCAATCAATTAAAATCGATTGAAATAATCGATCGATTTTATTATTTATTTTGATACTCGCCCCACTTACGACCCACTTACCCCAAATGAAAAAGTATTTTTTTTTTTTTCAACTTTATTTTTATTAATACCGTTGTACAGCATTACAGCAAAAAAAATAACCTATTTTTTTTTTTTTTTTTTTCGAAAATAAAGAGGTATTGGTCACAAAAAAAATATAATACCAAATTCGTTTAAATTAGGGCAAAGTTGCACAATTTAATGACCAATAAAATGCCGTGTCATTCGGAAAAAGCCTAAATTTTGTAAAATCATTATTTGTTCGTAGAAAAATAAACATTGCTTAATGAAAAGTTGAGGAAGTAGAAGGGTACCCACATCAAATAATTTTCGAAGCGTTATTCAATCATCAGCCTCCAATCTCATTTTTTTTGTATAGGCATTTTGGATAAAAACTTTTATTTTTAACCAATTTTTATTTTTCAAGAGTTCTGGATGCTCTGCTATCAAGGCATCACATTCGTGTCTTTTGGGGGGACGCTTCTTTTTGATATTATCTTCGAAGTGCTCCAAAACAACTTTTTTTTGGCAAGTTGTCCAGGGAACCAGCTCTCTTTTTTGAGGCTTCTTCTTCTCTGCCGCATGTATTGGGGCTACTATTTCCGATTCTTTTTTTGAACCAATATTTTCATTAATATCTGAGTCTAATGCATTTTCTGGGACCTCTATTTGAGGTTCTGGAAAATTTGCTTCATCATTGGCTTCATCACAAACAATTTCTTCATCCATGTCCAAATCGATTTCTTCCAAGGATTTGCCCTTATATTTTCCAGCATCTCCTCTCTCCATTAACATTAATAATTTGGCAATTTTAGCCGTTTGGAAAATATCATCCGGCAAACGATACACCTTGCTATGAACGCCCACGCCCACAGCCCATAAATGTTGCTAATTGTTCAACATCATTTGGCGTCATGGTAAAAACTTGAGTAAGGGTCGCTAAATGTTTACGTAGCTTTGTTGACGTTAATGCATCTGGATTTCTAGCTCCACATGAACGCGAATGTTTTTGCAATATTTTATATCCAACGATGGGTTGCTCTGATTTTACTTGGGCGAATAAAAATAAATTATTTTTCTCAATTATCGTTGGCCTGCTTTGCAATAGTAAGCTTAGATGAGCTTGTAAATCCTGGCTAAAAAGAACTGGGACACCCCTGCCTCTTTTACCTCTAATAACTACTCTTTTGAAAGTTTTTAACAATATTTTTTCCGAAGGTGTTATTGCTTCCGAAAACTCTTCATAGGAATTCGAGGTTTTTTCTTCTGCTTGAAGATAAGTACTTAATTTCATACGTTGTAGTTCACCTACTCGTTTCCGGTTTAGAAGCAACAATCGGCAAAATATTGTTTCCATCAATAAATTGAAGTTTTTCACATCTGTTCTATCTTTTTGTAGGTTTTCTGCAGCTTCATTTCCTCTATCAATAAGATATGTCCTGAATATCTTAAGATCGCTTGCCAGTGGGACGATGCTGATTTTGTTCCATGTTTTTGTGTTTAAATCGTTTGCCGCATGACTAGATATTTCGTATTTCCAAGTACTATCTAGTAACTGTTTAAAGATTGAAATGCTTGCTTCTGCTTCTGCAGTTGTAACTGTTTCATAATTGTGTTTTCGTTTTGCGAGGTGCAGAATTGCGATATCACAACAGTCCTTGAAACTCCTGCTTATGTTCATTCCAAATGTAGGTGACATATATTGATCTGTTACTGGATTATATTTGGCAATAATTTTTACACTGTTAACCACAATATCAAAATATTGAGGTTGAAGTATATCATAAAGATTTTTTATGTTGAGGTCCATGTTTTGAGCTTCCATTAGAACTTTAGCTAGTTCTCTCATTTTCCTAGAGCAAACATTTACTTGATGTTGCTCTCTGTGAGTGCGCAAATATCTTGCACCAAAAGCACAAACGAGTGCATCTTTTTTTGCAACCAGAGACACTTTATCAGCTCGCATTCGCGGAAATACTTTAGTTCTTAAATCCTAACTAATATTCATTTTTGGATAGAAAAATATTCTGAGACTCACTGAGTGGTGTTTTCTTAATACCTTTCTTATTTTCCGGGCAGGTAGTTTTGTGTTTCCACAGTAGTCTTCGTGAATAAAGTCCAAAGCAGAACGGACATGAAAGATAATTTTCTTCAGAATTATTTCTGCTACTTTTATGTACATGCTTATACAAAGATTCTGAGTTTTTCAGGAAATTCCCCTTTTTTCTCAAAGTTGCAATACATTGTTTTCTCTTGAGAGATTTTGGCGCCAACGAAAGGATCTGTTGTACTTCCAGTTCCAGTGAATGATTCCTTGTGATGTGCCTGGCAAAATTGTTCACCTCTGTTTCGCAATAAAAACACATATCTGGAATACGAATAACCCGGGGAATATCCTTTTTCGCGGCATTTTTTCTCAAAGGGTTGTTGTTGCTTCGAAGGATGTTTCTTGAAATACTCGAATCTGGCAAGTTTATTTCCTGGAAATCAATAAAAATTAGTACTAGGACAAAAAAAAACATTATTTTATATTACGCATGCATCATAATCGATGGTTATCGCACGCTGCAGCCTATATAAAATGATGTTTATGATGCGCCTACCTTTTCAGGTAGGTTTGCTATAGAAAGCTTTGATCTACCTTCATTACCTAGACATTCACCTGCTGTTTAAATAACTATTTTTCAAAATGAATGAACACATTTGCAACATTTTTGAAATCATGATGCATTAGTAATATAAAATGGCGTATGACATGCATGTATAAGAGCCTTCAAAGCCCTTGCGACTTACAAAACACTTCGCTGCGCGTCGTGTTTTGCAATATGTCGCTCGTGCTTTAAAGGCCCTCTTATACACTTACATCATAACATACTATTATGGTACCTGAGAAATTGGCGGCATTCGTGAAGCATGGACGTTTATATGTCCCGAAGAACAGTCATAGCCATCCTTTTCAGGAGTTGTTGTCTGAAAATATTGAAATAATAATATTTAATGTCCGTTATAGTTTGTGTCATCTCAATGTCTAAATTATCTTTTGATCTGGAATCTAATCAAAATTAAACAGTTATTCTCAGAAAAAAAATGTATGCATTTATTGTGGAAACATGGTCAATTAAGTTGCAGAGTATTTTTTTGTCAAAATTAAATTGGAGTATTGTTTTGGTCTTGGAAGAAAAGGTAGTTACAGACTATTCGGTTAAATCACACTGATTACTGATCGATTGCTGACTGATTCTTGTTATTAAGAAAGATGCACCAATTTTTACTTATGGAACAAGTAATTTAGGAGCTTACGAAGAGCCATTGAAGAGAGGTATGATGTAGTGAAACTGGAGAACATAAGGAAAATATTAAATACTGCTGCGATATTTCTTACACCTCTCAAAATAAAAATGCAATTATGAAATCATTACAACTTGAGGCCCCGAGGCAAAAACTTGTGGAGTAAGTGAAACGAAAGAAAACGCATGGGTTGCCGATTTCTTGTGAAATATGCACGCTCGACAAATTTACTTACTGATATATCTAAGCTTTGCAGCTGACTTGAACTTCTTGATGAGCTGCTCGAAATCTGTGCAGTAGGCACAGGTAGCGAAGTAAGTTGCATCATGCTAGTTATAGTTTCTGTTCCCGGTTGTTTGGGTTGCTAGAAAAAAAAAAGTGAAGTAAAAGTAAAACGCTAAATGAATGACGCCTTTTATGCGTCACCAGAAATTTCAAATTTCATCAACTGTTAGATTAAACTTTTTGAAATTTTATTGTGAATAGCTTCATATTTTCAAATATTTTATAGCAGTCCTTCCTAATTCATAAAAAAAATACAGTTAGTGACTGGAAACACATAATTCCTATGTTACAAAACTTAAATAATTAAATGAGAATCAGATGGATTGTCATGACTTGAATTGATTTAATAAATTATTCGGTGAAATTGCATATGTAAAACCTGCTTATTTAACTAATTTCTAGAAAACTTTTACAAATGTATATATACTGAAATTATTGAAATTTCCAACGAACTTGAACTTGTTGATGCTCCACTGAAAACTTCTGCAACTGATACAGGTTCTTTCGCTAAGCATCTAGTTGTTCGGGACAGTTGCTTTGAAAAAAATAAAAATCTATACGCTTTTTTAATAAACAAAACAAAAACCTGAGTTCGAAAATGAAAGTACAATAGAAATAAAAAATAATTAAACCTGGCTATGTATTGTAACAACAAACTAATAATAATTAGGTTTTTTACTAATATAATTAAATTATATCAATAAAATGTCAGTATAGTAAGCTTCTTTATGAAAATAAAAACAAACCCTTTTTTTAGAAATTCATTTTTTACGCGGTCTTTATATTTTACCCCATATCAATAAATAGGTTTTTATTATAGGTACTTACAAAACTATCGCTCTCCTCACTGTCTGATGGAACGTAGTTGGGATCGTCATCTGAATCAGTACCGTATACTAAACTTTCTTCTAAATCATAGTTACCTAAAATATAATGTCTAGTCTTATTTTTTTATAGATATTTTCATGTATGTTTTTCCATCAGAAAGTTCTCATATTTGTTTTTAAATCCAACCCTCGTTTTCAATTGCATAACGTTGAACAATTTATTGATTTTACCCTCAAAATCCATGTTGTTTTGAGGGTAAAATTTGAGGATTTTTTTTGGAACAGAATAAATACTAAAAATTACCGTTGAGAAATAGTTCAAATTATTTTAAATTAACTTATTTTTGTCTCATTGGATTGTTTTCAAACGATTTTCTGATCAATCTGAAAGTTAAATTCTAAATTCAGTTATTCTAAGAGAAGCAACAAAATAGGTACCTATGAGTAAATAGTTTCCTTTGCTATATTTGGAAAGATTTTTCTGAAAATTATTAGGTAATTACTATGCTTACTTTTCGAAATCTCTGGAGATGGTACGGATGGCAATGGAATTTCCATCACGTGGCCTATGTTTTCCGTAAAAACTGGTTGCTGTGAAAAAAATATACGTTAGAGACAACTTCTGGGAAAAACGCAATACACTTACTGGAATTATCGAACTTTCCAAAGAACTTGGCCCTGTCGACGCGCTATTTATAACTTGTGCAGTTGTTAGCAGCGTAAGTTTTTTTGCAGGTAGCTATAAATTAAATGGTAATTTAGCTCTTTCAATACACTTACAATTATTAGAATATGCACCTATTTTTGTTATACTTACTAAAATGTCGCTGGTGTCGCTGAATGTTGAACCATTAGCCTCTGGAGATGGTACGGATGGCAATGGAAGTTCCATCACGTGGCTTATGTTTTCCGTTAAAAATGGTTGCTGTGGAAAAATTATACGTTACAGATAACTTGTGTGTAAGATGCAATACACTTACTGGAATTATCGTACTTTCCAAAGAACTTGACGCTGTCGATGTGCTATTCAAAACTTGTGTAGTTGTTCCTGATAGCAGCGGAACTTTTCTAGCACGGCTTATAATTTTCGCTGGTATCTTTAAAAAAATACGAATTTAGCTTTTTCAATGGACAAAGGAGTGTTTTTTTTTTTAAATTTTGGACGCGTTTGAAAATTTAAGGAAAATTTGTAAAAAACTGAAAGAAAATGAAAATACGTAAATTATTTTATTTAGAAAAATATTTGTGTTGAAATAAAATTCGTTCTTCTTGCAAAAGCATTAAGCAGGTGCCCTAAATTAATTTATATCCATTAATTATTTAACTCATGAATAACACTGTTAAAATGTTTGGGATTTGCTAATAAAAAAAGGAACTAGATAATAAGGTAGGTAACAAATTATAGATATATTTTTGTACAAATGAAGTATGCCATACTAATTCATGAAAATAAAAATAAAAATTAGTTTGAAAAATTATGCTCGTTTTTTTTTTTTTGTAAAATACAGGGTGAACCACGACGAACTGCCGCGATAGAAAA